AGAATTGGCACTGGGTCTTGAACTCTCCAACAGACCATTTCTCTGGGTTGTGAGACCAAATATCATAGAGGGGAAAGATGACGCGTACCCAGAAGGGTTTCGTAACAGAGTGGCTGATCGTGGAAAGATGGTGGGTTGGGCACCACAACGAGCAGTTCTGAATCATCCTTCCATTGCTTGCTTCATAAGCCATTGTGGTTGGAATTCCACTATGGAAGGCGTAAGCAATGGAGTTCCTTTCTTGTGCTGGCCCTATTTCGCGGACCAATTCCTAAACGAGAGCTACATTTGTGATAATTGGAAGGTGGGATTGAAATTTGAGAAAGATGAAAATGATATTATTAGAGGAGAAGAGATTAAGAGCAAAGTAGAGAAACTACTGAGTGATGAGAATTTTAAAGCGAGGGCTCTTGAATTGAAGGAGAAGACCATGAACAGCATCAAAGAAGGTGGTTCCTCTGAACAAAATCTCAACAGTTTCATTGAATGGGTGAAATCATGTATGAAATAATGCAATAAAATCAGGGCTGCAAGTTGGTCCTGGGTTATCCATGGCCAAACCTGATCCAATCCAATTCGTTGGATTGGGTTGATTCCTCATGTAATTTGGTTTTGCTTTGGTTTGGATTCTTAAGAAACCAAATTAGTTGGTTTGGATTGGACCAAAACCATGTTTAATCCATAAAACCATCGGTTTAAATTTAAAAACTTGAAGTTGAAATGCAATTTCTCACTTTCTTTTCTAATCTGCATTCAATATAGTTTCTTTTTCGTTCATCATTCCCGACACATGTTTGCAGTGGTTTTTTTAATTAGTTTTTAAATATGCATTAAAATGAATTTTTATCTAATTTAATTACTCCTTCAATCCCTCTATTTAATTTTAATAGTTTTAATTTTTTTTATTTTTAAAATATAAATTTTAAATCAAAATTTAATAACTTATATAAATAACAATTAAAATTTTTTATATGTATTGTTTTGTTAATTATTTTTATTTAATAAAAAAATTAATTATTTAAATTTTTATATAAAATTAATGTCTAAAAAATTTAAAAAAAATTAAACTAAAACCACTAAAGTTGAACAAAAATAAATGCAATTTATCATTTAATTTTTAAAAGAAAATAACCTACTATTAAAATTGTGAATTTTTTGCAATAATTTGTAAATTATTTTATCAAATTTTTTTTCTTCTTCTTATTCACCTTTAATATGATCAGATTAATTGTATTTATTATTAAATATGTTAAAAAATAATAAAATTATTTTTTTTCTTATTCACCATTAATATGAACTTAACTTATAAAAATCCAATGCTTGTATTCAACAATTTGTTAGTTTTAGTGTTTAATTTTAGCTTCCAAATACTCTATCTCTTCTACAATAATTGTTTCCTTTTACCAAATTTAAAATCAATTTAATTCAGATTAAATAAAAACAGTCATTATTTTGGAACAAACATAGTACTTCTTCTATCCCAAAAACCAAAAAATATTTTTAAGTAAATTTATAAAAAAAAATAAAGTAGAAATACCTTAAAATATTTAAATTTATTAATAAATTCTCTTGCATCTTGAATGATATTTAATTAATTTTATAAATACATTTATACTTCTTTTATAAGTTAACTTAATAATTTACAACTTTTAATTTGACATAAATAAGAAACGAGTGTCCCAAAAAAAAAAAAAGAAAGAAAGAGAGAAAGAATAAAAGAAATCAACGGTTCCAAAACAAAATAAAGATATATGAAAGGAAAAAAAATAAAATAAAATAAAGAAATGAGTGTGAAGAAATGTTGCCCGTATTAGGGAGAAAGTCTACTATACAACAGGGATACCACATCAGATGGTATCCCCATCCAATAACAAATTGACAGCCCATTAAATTTGAACACCTCATCGTCTGATTCATCATCCACTTAAAGACAGCTCACCGTTCGGCAGTTACCACAATTTAACTTAACGGAGAAATTGTTTATCCCCCTAAAATAACTTAATCGTCCCTTCCCTATCCTCCCCCAAGTGCTCATCACTGACGAAAGCGGCAGTGACGATCTAAGTTTGCAGGATCCCTTACTCCCAACAAATTCCATCTAATACCAAAAATATGAGTTCTTCTGATTTGTGAATAACGGGTTCAAGGAGATTTGTGGTATGGAAAACTTAGTGGCACACAAAAGAAAAAAAAAAAAAAAAGCTTTTTCAGATCTGGGCAAAAAAGAATCAGATTATAGTTTTTTGGGTTGAAAAAAAATATTAAAACTTTTCGGTGATGGGATTTTGGAGATAAAGCAACTTGATGCTTAAATTCGCCTAAATCCTAGATCAATTCAAAGCTCTATGCACTTTGTTCTTGCGTTGTTTATTTTAAAAGCAAAAATTATCTTTCTTTTAATTGCTACAGTAGAGCTTAGAGATAAGTTGAAGATAGAGAAGGGGAAACTTCGCTTTTAACACGATACTAAAAGAAGACAAAATCTAAAGACCCTTTGAAGTGTAAAATCCAAAGATAGTTTTTCGGTAGCAACATTAGCCAAATCTAAACAACCACCAGTCTTTTATGGCCTAGAAATTCAAGGAAAACCAAGTCAGATCATATGAAAAGCTTCTGCAAGTACATAATTTCTATTATGAATTGCAGCAGAAGTGGAAGGTATCAGAATTCCAGAAAGAAAGAGAAAGACAAAGATGAGAGAGGAATGAAGGGAAGAGAAAACGTTTGGGACGAAGATGTTCTCCATTTCATATGTTTCCGTTAAGCTAGTGACGTGTCTTTAATTTAATTAGGAGTTGTATTTTTTTTATGAGGTGTCGTTCTATTATTGGATGGGCATACCAGCTGACGTGGTATCCCCGTTGTATAATAGACTTTCTCCCGTAGAGAATTAGGAGGTGATAGATGGTGTTAGCACGTGCAAGATGGGACCACGTCACCACAGGTAGACCGAAACCAATCCAGTAAAAAATGGATTGATTGGGATTGGATAGAGAGCAATGCTAGGGACACTCGCTTTTCGCACTCTCAGGTCCACACTTTCTCCTTTATTGGGCCACGTTATCTTCGTTTGCGAGAAGTTGCGCCTAAAAGCTTTAAAGAAGCTTACGTGACCCACTGAAAGGGGAGGTGTCGGCCGGAGAGTTGGAAAAGCGAGTGCTCCTAGCATTGCTCTTGGATAAAAATCCAACATTGCTTTGATTAAAGTTTGGGACCTTTGGGTGGTACTGTAGATAAATTTTTTATATTATTTTTTAATAAAAATTTTATACGTTATTTAATAAATAAATATATTTAATATTAAAAATTTTAAATGAATTAAAAAAATTAATTATTTAAATAATATTTTAAATTATATAAAAAAATAAAAAAAAATTATACAAAAATCATTTCAC